ATGGGGATGTTGAGCAGCTCTTGGTGCTGGCTCTACTCCCAGCACTCGAAGGCTGCGAACACAGATCGTTTTGGTCATATAAAGCAGCAAGTTTAGTGTAGTGCTCTTAGCCTGGGATCTGCATACACTACATACGCCTTCTACAGAGGTGGTGAAGGAGAACCAAGAAAAGAAAACTCAGAAGGTCTCTACAGCAGTCTGTAACTGAAGCTCCTGAAGAGGTTTGCATTTTCACTGCAGAGATCATGAAGGCTCCACAAATTGTGGAGGAGGCAAAGGTGAATAGGAAGACAAATTTTGGCTGGATGAAGGTACTCCTCAGGGCTGTTACCTGTAGAGCACTGTTGGTTCTCATGCAGTGTCCCCTACTTCATATTCAGATTCCTGGGTGTTTCCAACACAGTCATAGTCATTCTTTTTCACATCCATTTCTTCAGATCTTTTGTTTTCAGAGGGCTCCATCTCATAGTGGTTTTCAGTGGAGGAGATGGGTTCCTCATAGTGAGCTGTACTTTCACACCTTGAAGAAGCTGCTGCTCTCGAGGTATGGCTGAAATCAAAATACAATATGAAAGAAGAGTTGCAACCAAAGAAGACATCTCCTGGCCATCAAGATTTTGAGCAAGATTGTGATTCAAACCCATGTAAACCTGGGCTATTGGATTATGACAGTAGTCTGAAAGAAATAATCTTGTCTGTTGCTACCAGGTGGCAGCATTGCCTCCAATCTGGGGAGAGTTTCAGAGGCAGCAAAAGATGTGTGAGCAACACAGGATTACCATCATTTCTGAGAACTGCACAACCAGGCAACTTCTCTTTGCAAGATAGATAGATAGATAAAAGTGGTGGAGGAACGGTAAATAGCGAACTGAACGCAGCCCACATCCACCACGTGGTTTATGACATCTAGTATCTTTAAAGTGAAGGTAAACCCTCTGAGGAGAAATGCCATCACCATTTGTTCAGTGGCTCAGAGTTCAACTGTTACCTAACATGCTACTTCATAAACTGCTTGGGAGGCACAGCGCCCAGGCAAACACCACTGGCGTGTTCTACCATGGTACTCAAGTCATCAGCACTTTAATTTATAACTGGTTCTCCTCGTACGTTTTTACTGGATCATTAGGCTTTTCAGTATAGCTTCCATAGGTTACAAGTAGATCAGGATTCTGAAGCCTGAGTTTAGAAATAGCTATAACTTCTTGCCACAGCTATGATTGAAAGAGGCAAGTTTAGCCAAGGGTATTTCAGGGATAAATCAGAACATGATCTGTGCATCAGGAGCCTTAGCTCTCTAGAAGGGGAATTCCTGTTCCTCGCATTTGAAAAAAACACTGGGAATTTATCCTTGGCACTGATTTTCAATAGGCCTCATTGGGCTGAGGAGTTAATAAACAGCTCTCGCTCATTTTTATGATTCTAATATTGCAAAGGAGAAGATCTGTGTTCATCCATTGTGTGTTGATGTGGAAAGCCCATAGGTCATCAGTACAATGTACTACTGAACTAACTTAAACCTCTTCATCCACACTGTTAAAGAAGTTGTTCTTCTGGACAGCCAAGTAACACCATTTGCGTTTGTTTTTTTCTGCTCTGATATAGTCCCCAGAGACTCATCAACATGTTAGGTAAAGGGTTATACTCACAATTCTACTTCATAGACTTGAGCTGGAAAAGAATAATCAGAAAAGCATGTCAATAATTTGAATTTATATTATCAAAAAAGAATTTCTACCATGTCTGTTCTTGATATAAGAAATTGACCTCTGAAGGCAGAACAAAACCAGGAACCTTAGAGATCATGTTGGGTGGGTGATGACTACTATTCCCAGGATTCAGTCCAAGAAAATGGAAACAACCCATATCCCAGCTGTAGCACAACTGGGTCGAAATAGCTGGCCCAAGGTCAAAGGTAAAGTTATGTTTAGGAACCAGAAGTTCCCCGTTCCAACAATTTTCCTGTTCATTAGAAGTTCAGTAAATAATAGTTTAGGAAGAGGTTATTCTGGACAAGAGTAACTGGCCACCAGATACCTGGTGGAGCTGATCGACACCTGCGATCGGGCAGGTAAGTGGAGCCGCAGGTGTCCGCGAGGACTGGAGGGAAGCAGCCTCAGGGATGGCCTGGTGGGGCAAAGACCGAGATCCCCCCGCAACCGGCCTGGGGATGGGCGCTGCGGAGGCGGATTCACTGCCGGGCCAGGGTGGCACTGAGCAGCGGCTGCCCCTGGTGTGCGCTGCTGGCGGCCCTGGCCTGGGCTTGGTCACTGCGTGCAGGTCTCCACTCCAGCTGCTGGGGCTGGTTTTCCCTGAGGAGACAGGGCTTTGCCTGTGATGTGGGAGCATGCTGGTTTGAGCTGGGGCAGGGTTAATTGTCTCCATAGCAGCTGGTACAGGGCCAGGAATCGTGTTTGTGCTGGAAACAGCGCTGGTCACACAGGGCTGTGTTGTTTACTGCTGGGCAGTGCTTGCACAGCCAAGGCCTTTTCGGCTCCTCACCCAACCCCACCAGTGAGTGGGCTGGTGGAGGCACAAGGAGCTGCAGGGGGGGACACAGCTGAGACAGCTGACCTCAACTGACCAAAGGGATATCCCGGACCATATGACATCATGCTCAGCATATAAAACTGGAGGAAGAGGGAGGAACGGGGAACGTTAGGAGTGATGGTGCTTGTCTTCCCAAGTAACCATTGCACGTAGTGGAGCCCTGCTCTCCTGGGGATGGCTGCACACCTGCCTGCCCATGGGGAGTGGGAAATGAATTCCTTGTTTTGCTTTGCTGGTGTGTGCAGCTTTTGCTTTACTTATTAAACTGTCTTGATTTCAACCCACGAGTTCTCTCACTTTTACTCTTCCGCCACCCCACTGAGAGGGGAGTGAGTGAGTGGCTGCATGGGGCTGAGCTGCTGGTTGGGGTTAAACCATGACAAGGTGCCAGAGCTGCTCCCAGTAGCTGTGAGCACAGTACCATCCCCATTCCCTAAAACCCTTAAAGGTAAAGCTGAGCTGGGCATGCACGCCACATTCAAGTTTCCCGGAACATTCTACTCACCATCTTTGGGCTTTCTAATGCAAATGATAAGAAAAACGACAAGGAAAACCACAGCACCGCAAACCACAGCAATCAGGATGACCAGGTACAGGGACAGGTGAGTCCTATGGAAATCTAGAACAATACAGCAGAAGGCTTTCAAACAGAGAATCCCCCCCTCAGGTCACAGTAGCAGCAGCAGCTACATGGTGCTGACCACTCCCCTGAGGACAGCAGCAGCTGGCCCATCATGGGCATGCAGGGTTATACCGCATGTGCCTTTCCCTGCTTGTCCCCACTCAGACAGCACCGTGCTCACAGGGCTCTGAACAGGCACAGTTGTGTGAACCAGCCAGACTCTGTGCATGCACCTCACCAAGGGACTGTGGCCATAAAGTCAACCAGCAGAGTCTCCATGCTGAGGCTGAGGCCAGGAGCTGGGTAGAATAGTTGCACTATGTGTCATGAAATAAAGGGTCTCAGCTTTTCATTCGAGGATACTGTTCAGTTGTGTTTGGAACATTTTTAAACCCACCATGGCACTGCAAAGCTAGAGGAGGTACAGAAGATCTGCTTAAGTTGCACACTGAGGCTTTTTTGCTGTTCCAGCTTTGACACTCAAAAGAAAGATCAAAATGGGCTAGTGTTTGGGAACACAGCAACAACTCTGAATGCTCCAACTACAAAAGCTTTTTTTTTTTCCTCCTTCCCATAATGCCACCCGAAGTCTTGGAAGAGTCACCATGAATCATCTAGGTCCCTTGAGAACAGGCATTAGTACAATTTGCAGCCAAAGGGCAAATTTGATTTTGAGGCTGAAGGTACTGACTACTGTCTTTAATCTCATTCGTTGCTTTATTTTGCTTTCCACTTACTCCGAGTTGTATAATTCTTTTCTGGATATCCCACGCCATTCTCAGAAGTCACTGCTGTTGTGGGCAGACCTGCAAAATAAACAGGAGTGAGAGGCTCACAGTCATTTCCAGTCCTCATTTTAGCATGAGGAGATCTGGGATTACAGCTGTAGCATCAAAGGAAGATGTCTCCATTACCTTTACAAGGCAGTGAAAACAGGCAAATTTTAGAAATGAGTACTATATATATAATATACAGGTATGCAGTGCTATATGTACACATCAGAGAGATACTATATGTAGTGTATATACACTATATAAACTATGTCTACACAAACTGTATATAGACATACAAATATATCCAGTGTATATACATACACACCTGTAATAGTGGTGGAGACCCATGGAGTCCAAGGGATTGCTGTGGTACCTCTGAACACCAGCTCCGTTTGGTTTTTTTCTGTAAGAATAGTCAACAATTGTCAACATCTTCCCTTAGCTTCTGGCCACTGATGCAGATTCCCACAACCAGCTGTATGATTGGTGGGGCACTAAAACTTCAAATGAAACATAAACCCAAAATACAAAGTTCCCACCAGCAGACCTGCTGTAGCCCAGGTCTGAATTCTCACATGCCACAAAAACTAACTGGGAATCACAAGCACTCCCTCAAAACAACCGTCCTTGGTAAGGTAGACTGTTTCCAGTCAGGTCTGAAGGAGCTTTTGCATCACTTCTATCTGCCACTAGAGACACCATCTCTGCCTCTCACTCCAGCAGCTTTCAATCAAGTCCAGAAAACAAGCAAAAAGTTCTTTAAAAAAAGAACAGAATCCAGAACATCCTATATGGTCCTCAAGTTTGGAAATGGTATTTCCAGCAGCCCTAAGACACATCCAGAGCCTCTCATCAGAGACACAACCTCCCCACGAGGAAGCTAAAAGCCCTCTGTGGACTGGAGACTGAGAGGAAGATGTTCTATGTTCAGAAGCACCTGGATTAAAAACTGAGGCATGTGGACTAGAATAAAATGTTGTCAAGACTGTATTCCCTGGCAACAAAATTCACTGCTAAGCACTGGTGTCAAACCCTCCCCCAACTTCTTGTCCTTGCTGTCAGCTGTAACTGCCATTACCCCAACCTGTGGTTGGGCACTGTCTCCCCGAGGTTCCTCCATCCCTCGGAGAGGCCACTGTCATTGTGGGCAGATCTGCAAGGTGAAGGAAAGAGAGGCTCACACAGGAGTTTGACCATGTTTGTGATGCTGGTGCAATACAGAACTTCTCCACTGGTGGGATAAGACCAGGAGGAACCAGCCACCATGCAGAGGAGAGGTGGGGGACTGCATGCTAGCAGCGTTGGCCATCATTCATTCCTGTTCCCTTGGTGTACGCTCTCACATGCAATTGCTATGAAAACCCCCACATTTCAGCCATGACCTTTGTTCCACTGGGAGCTCATCACTTTGCCTTTTTCAAAGGTCACCGTGTGTATCTGTGCTTGGCTCTGCAATCACAGGCTTCATGGCTCTGATGACCGAGTTACCAGCCAAGGAAAGCAGCGAGTCTTCCACCAGACATCCATCATGCACTGTCTTGCAGAGCCTGGGTACATCAGAGCACAGCATATGTGTGAAGTGCAGTGTGTTTTCCTGAAACACGTGGCCAGTCGTAACGAACAAGGGCCAGTTTGATTTTTTCACTTATTTAATTACAAATCATACGTTCCTCCTTCTCAAAATGAAGTCCTGATTCCTCATCTAAACTTGCTAAACTGCAACAGGCAGCTCTACGCAGCCAGTAAGAACTTCAAAAAAGCCAAAGAGGAATAAATATGCATTTTAAATGCAAAAACCGCTTTTGCACCAGAGAAGAGCAGTTCTGCTAAAGAGGAGGGAGGAAATTGAATAGAGGAAATAGAAAAGAATGGGAAGCCACAGCCAGGGGTGAGAAGTGCTTCAGAGTGCAGAAGGCCAAGGCTTTTTGTGTTTTGTTTTTTCAGGGAAGGGAAGTAGGACCATTGCTGTGTCCCTGTACGGAACGACTCCAGATGTTTTGCACCCAGCTGTGGCTCTGGGGACTCACCTCTCACCATCAGCTCCACGGCGTCGCTCTGCTGCACGGCCCCGGCCCCGGCCCTGTTTTCTGCCTCACAGTAGTACGTCCCGGTGTCGGAGGGCCGCAGGCTGTCCCACACCAGCTCGGCCTGTCTGCTCAGGAGCCGGGCTTCCCCTCCCGGGGTGCTCCTGAACCAGCTGTAGCTGATGGGGGGGGACCCGTTGGCCACACAGCTCAGGCTGGTGCTGGCTCCTGCTGGGACCATCAGCCCCAGCTCACCGGCCC